ACCTCCTCTTCAGATAGTCCTTCTGAAGCTGCTTTCACCGCTTGGCTTCTCAAGACCTCTGAGATCTCTCTGGCCATCGCCTCATGCATACGGGCCTTGTCCTTCTTGTCAAGCTGGCGGTAGTTCACCTCCTTAGCAGCCGTGGATGGAGCCAACTTTCCTTTCGTATAGGCGGGTGGTGACGCCACAAACGCCGCCAGATCGTCTACATCAAACTCAACGAACATGGCCTCATGACCCGAGTCGCATGCGCTCTCTATCGACTTGAGCAGCGACTTCTCCTGAGCTCTCAACTCCATGATCGCCTTCTTGAGTTCCTTGATGGAGACCTCCTGGTACGTATCGCTCTCAAGGACCTGAATCCTGCGCTTGATCATCGCATAGACTTCTGAGCTGACCTCCGGCAGATGGTCCTCGGCATCTAATCTAAAAACTTCAGGACCAGGTGTGTTCGTGATGGTGGCGTCTGGTGTCTTATCTCTCTCCGCCTTCACATCTGACACAGCGCCCTGAGCACTGTTCTCTTCCGATTCCTGCTCTCTACCTTCATCACACTTCCGGAGCCTGATGCTGGCTCTCGATCCACCTCCATGGCATCGTTCGAGCTCGACGCCTGACCAGGTGTGTTCGTGATGGTGGTGTCTGGTGTCTTCTCTCTCTTCGCCCCTTTCTTGTCCGCTTCTTTGGTCTTCTTGGTTTCCAGTTTCCTTGCCAGGGCCTGTGACGGCTCAGGTGGGTCCTTTCGCTTCGTTCCCAACACATCCGTCCCAGGAGCTATCTCCAGGATCGTTGTTCCCTTCTAGCCTTCCACGTGCTTCCGGCCAGGCTCCCTGCTCTTGCGGAAATCATCAATGAAGCTTCCGGAGCCTCCGTCTGGAGCCGTCCAGATCGTGGTACGCTTTCCAGTCGCTTCCGTCGGAACGAACAGATGATCACGGGGCACGTTATGGTGCCGTATGAGCTGCCGGTCCTCTACACCCAGCTCCCAGGTGTCAGGCACCTCCTGCTTCTTAATCTCTGCCGGCATCCTCTTGAGGGGTGGCAATCCCTCCAGGCGCCTGTTGGCATTCACCTTTTCCAGTGTCTGCCAGCGGATGACTGCCTCCTGGACGCTCTGACGGTTCGGAGATCTGCTTCTCATAGACGTGCGTCGTTGTTGTTGTTGTTCTCGTACTCGATCTCCCCACTCATCTGCTGCATTCTCCAGCGTCCTCTCCCAGTCGGCAGGTTGCTGCGCTCTCTGACCGGCTCCTGCGGGCACCGGGACACCTTCATCTCCAGGTCGTTCTGGCAGTCCTTCCTCCCACTCAGGGGGTTTTGGGCCAGTGGCATCCACAAACCGCTTCAAACCACGCATCACGTCTTGCACTGGCAAGGTGACCACTGAACCCCGCTCCAGGAGCTCCGTCACGACTTCTTGTTCTGAAGCCATGCGTAGTTGCTCCGGCGCACATCTCCAGAGCGACTTGCCCATGAGCACCCACACCACAGATACTCTGCTCTCGGGTTGTACGGGTGGCTCCAGCATGGCCACTCTTCCGGGCCCAATGAAGCGTGGCTCCGGATTGATGTTAAGGGTGTCTTTCTGTCGCCTTGCTTTCAAGGTAGAACTTCTCCACACGCACACCCAATCACCAACTTGGAAATCCAGCACCGGTCGAGGCGCTGCATTGTGGAGGCGTGTCCAGGTCTCCCTGGCCAGCTCCTGCCGGTGCATCTCTTCCGCTCTCTCCCGCCATCGCTGCATGTCCCAGAACTCTCCAGGCCGCTCCCCTTGGGCGCGGTTCACGACCAAAGGGTCCACCGTTTTTCCCCACGCGGCCGGATTGCTGCCATACGCCCATTGTACTGGCGTAAAACCCTTGACGGTCTCGACGTTGTTCTGGGCTGCTGCTGCCAGGTGTCCCACAAGTTCTGCTGACATCGTGGGGTCCTCGTTGCGCAGACGCTTCATCGTCTTCTTCATTGACTTCACTGCGCTCTCCACGGCCCCATTCTGCCAATGAGCTTCACCTGGTGTTGTAGCCATGCCGCAGCCCACAACTCCGCAGAAGTCGGCGAACTTGCCTTGTGACAGCGAACTTTGTGGATCAGTCATGATCCACTCCGGCTTGGGCCGGTGTTGCAGCCAGCTGCTGGCAAACTTCTGCACCAGCTTCTCTCCAGGGTCCGTGCCAGCTTCTGACATAGCACCTTCCCACAGGACTTCGATGGCGGTGAAACGCATCACCAGATCAATCATCAAGAGATAGCGGGCTTTCCGGCGTTGCTGCGGGAAAACCAATTCCATCACGTCCATTCCAATCATCTGCCATGGCTGGGGCTTCGTTCCAAGGCTGTGTGGAACAATCAGCTGCTCCCCTCTTCTCGTCTCAAGGCAGGCTTGGCAGTGCAGGTTCAGAGCAATGTTCACCACCCAGTTTGGTAGACCACGGTCCCGACACAGGCGGGCCAATGCTCTGTTGGACGGGTGTCCGGCCGCCTTGTGCAGCCGTGTCAGCATTCCTGTCGCTTGCTCCTTCATCTTGCTGGTGGGCTCTTGCTCTTGTTCCACCGGTGTAGCAAGCTGTGGGTCCTGCGACATCTCCCTCATGACTGCAAACACGCTCGGCGCCTCGTCCTTCTCCCTCTCCCGGATGTACTGTCCTTTCCAGAACCGAGCCAGTTTCTCAACCATTTGGCTGGGGTGCATCCCGGTGTCCACGCGGCGCTTCTCGTCCTCGCTGAGGTTGTTGTAGTCAGCGTGCTCGTGGGACCCGTCGCAGTGTAGGTGAAACTGCTGGTGGAACTCCGGGTCGTTGTGGATTACGATCCATCGTTTTCGCATTGGATGACCCCGGTCATCCTTCATTCCCACCATGCACCCATCAATTGTAGAGTGAAACACATGTCCGGACAGCTTCTTGATGATCGTCTCCTTGAGGTACTTCACGGTCTTGGATGAGAGGGTCGTGACCGCCCGTGCAGGCATCTCGATATACACCTTGGTGCGACCCTCGGAGTTCTTCAAGGCCCTTTCAATGAGCACGTTCAGGTTGTCAAGTTGTCGGCTCACCTTATTCTTCTTCTTCTTCTTGAGGTTCTCAGCTTCCGCTGCACTCGAAGGTGGAGGGCCGTCCAAAACAACCGAAGTCGTGCACCATATCTTCCAGGGTCTCTCGACCGATAACTCATCAATCATCCGATTCAGGTCGCCCGGCTTGACCAGGTCATACCCTGCTCCAAGCGTCTTACTGCACACCCGCATTCCACGATGCTCGCAAGCGCTTCCAAGACTCCCGGCTGTCCTTGCTGCGACCTCCCAGAAGTTCAAAGGTCGCAAGGCCGCCAAAATGGTGGCCACATCGAATTCTTCCGCCGCCCTAAGCAGCGATTCCTTGAGCTCATCCGAAACATCGTCTTCGTTTTCCATCCACTCGAGCTCCTCATACTCGGCAGAGTCCTCGGCGGCCGAAGTCGAAGTCCCCGAAGCGGCGCGTACTTGGCTTGTTGGTGGATCGCTTGCTGCTTCGTCCTGGGGGCTCTCGACCTTCATTGTCGCCTCCTGCTCCACCTGGGGTCCCTCTGGGGACTCCTCCTTCACACCCAATGCCGGGTGTGTCACGTCTCTCTCGCCGCTGCCTTCGCTTTCGCCGCTGGACCCCGATCCCTGCCCGACTCCCTTGGAGTCGTTTCCTTCTCCTCCTCGTCGGTCGGGGGATCCACTCTGTCGAAGCCCTCGTCTTGGCTGTCGATCAACTCGGGCGGCTCCAGCTGGCGACGTGGGCGAGGCTGGTACTTCGCCGGAGGAGCGCTCTTCGACTTTGCTTTGCCGTGCATCAGGCGCTTCTCCTTGGCCACGATCGTGATCATATTCTTGACATCCTTGGCCTCCAGGAGTTCGGGATCTCGACCCTCGTCTCTCAGCCTGCTCAGTGCCTCCGTGATATTCATAGGCAGGCTCACGTGAGTATACTCCGTGGGCGCGTCCTTGGCCGGCACGTACTTGCTGCGGTAGCCGCAGACCTGGCATTCGGTCCACTTGCCAAAACGGTTCCCGCCGTTCGCGAGCCGGTGGCGTCCTCGACACGGCCACGCGTCCATACTTGCTCGAGGGTCGCGGTCGTCCCCTTTCATCTCTCTCGTGGCGTCGTACTCGGTCTTGACGCCACCACGACTCTTCGCGCCCTTGGCGCGAGTCGCTCCTCCACCTTCGGCCATGGTCTCCTTGATCGCTTCGCGCACGGCTTTCTTCACCTCGGCCTTCATCTCGTCGGTAAGTGCGCTGCTCGAAGTGGCCATGGCGTCGTTCGCGAAGGCGCAGAGGTGGAGGGCTCCTTGAATCTCGAAATCGGTCCCGTCTGGAACTCATTGCGCTCGGGCCGAAATTCACGTAACACAGGTCATCGTCATTCAGGCCCATGTACTGTGCTTCAGTCACCTCGGTCTCCTCACACTCACACGCAAACTGCTCTTCCCCAAAGTCGGCTGCTTCCACTTCATCACAATCCAACTCTAGCAAGTACGACTGGTGCTCGGGGGGCTCACTGGAGAACATCACTCTCTTCCGAGGTTGCTGAAGGTAAGGCGTAGGGCTCTTCGGGGCATACTGCTTGGGTACCCAATGACGACTCGTGGTACGGGCTGTTGGGGATGTCTTCAGCAGGGTCGGTGCTAGTGGTGGCTCCCTAGGTGCCTTCAACCCGAAGATCTGCTTTACAGCGTCGATCACTAGGTGTCCCTTTGGGGTCTGCTTCAAGCGAACTCGCTTCCCCGCTATCAGACATCTTCCGGACTCACATCCTATCACCGCCTTCAACTTCCGAAGCTCTCTCATCCCCAACAACACGGGCACCCCCTCACTCGGCAAGGCAAGCATCTCCATACTCAGGCCTCCTAGAGACAAAACGACCTTGAACAGTGCCCTTCCCCACTTCCCACTGCCGTAACGGAAATATGGCCGCACAACGGAATGGATATCCACCTTCACTCCAGGATGTGCCGCAGCAATTGCCGCGCACAGTTTCTGTACGGCATCACTGCCTCCGGCAGTGGAGGTCGCTCCAGTATCCACCAGAGCCTCAGTGTCCTTCAGGGCCGTCCCTTCCTTTGGCGGTGCTCCTTCGGACGTGGAGAAAAACTCAGACGGCACCCGGTCGCCCATGTCCAAGTGGTAGCTCCAGGCCGTCATCGGTTTGCCCTTGCCCTTCGAGAAACCAGGTCGGCCTCCCTTGCTGCCCTTCTTCCCGGCGACCCAATGGGCCTCTTCTGCCATCTTGGCTCCCTTGGAGCCTTTACCTTTGCCGGGTTTTCCTTGGCCCTTGCCCTTCTGCATGTACTGTGATGTTGGCCGGTACTGCTTCTGCTGGACGGTTCCGGTCCAACCTCGGTCTTTGGCTGCTTGGGCCACGGCTCTCCGTGCTTCCGCGCGGTTCCGGTCGTTCTCGGCCATCATCAGCTCCAGCTCGCGGCGCTGCTCCTCGTACTCTCTTTGCTCCTGTTGTATGAGGGCTATGGTCTCGTCCTCGGGGATCTCCTCCTCAATGTGCTCGTCAGCGTGGTCGGGGCCCTCGGCCCAATCATCTTCTCCAGTGCCATTGTCACCATATTGGTAGTATCCCCACTGGTCATCTGGCCACCACGCTTCCCCATAGTCGAACTCGTCGCCTGGGTCCTCCAGCTCGCCGTAGAAGGCTCCCTTGGCGCCTCCAGCAAACGGTCGGCTATGTCCTTTTCCCCGGTCCTCATACATCGCCAGCAGCGCCTGCTTCACCTCGTGGTAACCCAAGCGGTTCTGGGTCGCAGCTTTCACGACCCGCCTTTCCTCCTCAGAGGACGTGCTCATCTCCAAAATCATCCAGCCGCGGATCACGTCCAACGCCGCCAACGGCATGAGACCCTTCTCCATAAGCCGTTGGAGAAGATCCTTTCCTCGGGCCCTCATCTCGGCCTTCGTCTTGGTCTTCCCGTAGCCCTTGGCCGGGGACCCAGCCGAGGATCTCGAAGACGATCTCGTTGATCTTCCCCGGCGGCTCCCTTCTCGAAAGGAGTCTCGCTCATCGTCCTCCTCAGGGCCTTCTTCAAAGCCCTCGGCCCCGCCGCCATCCTCATCGGCATCCGTGCCCTCAGGCGGGCCGTAGTACATAGACTCGTCCGCGGCCATGCCACAGAACTCCTTGAGTTCTTCCACTGTGGTGTCATAGTCGGCGAAGGTAAGTTCACGTTCTCGTAGAAGTCGTTGTAGGGCTCGCAACATGTCATCGTGAATCTTGTCTTCGCGGACCAGGAAGGAGGGTAGGGCCTCATTGTGTGCTTCCTTTGAAGCCTCCTATAATATCCTCCTATCTTCGCTCCCGCATCCGGCAGCGGCTGCCGGTTCAGTGGGCTCTCTTCCAGAAACTTCACCAAGTCATTCACCGAGGCCTCTGTCTTGAAATTCTCGGGCTCCAACTTGTACATCAACTGGACCAACGTCTTATGCTCGGATTGGAGGGCCTTCCGGATAATCCGGGCCGCCAGTAGGGTCCTATCCTCCCGCTTCGAGCTGCTCAAGGTCCATTTCACCTCGGTGACAAAATGACCAAACGTCTCTGGCTTGCCGTCCCACGCAGGGACAAAGTGTTTGTCATCTCGGCCAGTGCCTCCCTGGGAAGTGCTGGCCGCCATCGGGCTCCCTCGGGCCCCTGATCTTAAAAGCTCCGCGCTACCAATTCAACTGCATACCGAAGTCACCATCTAAAAGCGCACGTCTCTTTTGGCTAACAAGCGGGCCCGCTACAAGTAAGAGGTTTGGGCCCATAGGCCAGCGGCACGTGCTACTCTAAAGAAACACTGCGAACAGAACTAAAGATGCA